TTAGAGCATTAGCTAACAACATCTATGGCATATAAAACCATTTACATTTATTTCTTTTGCCACTCCGCGAGTGGCCAATAGTACGCTTCCGTGGGAGGTCTCGCTGTCCATAGGTTCGGATAGAATGATAATCAATAGGTACCATAATTCTCAATAAGTTTCCTATGATTTTACAAAGTCTACAATGTTAAAGAACGCACTTAAAAGTGGTTGCGATGATGTATCAACTTCTATGAAACTCACAAACCTCGTGTTACTTTTCTCGTTAGATTAATAATGCGTTCCACAGTAGCAGACGAATTAACTAATCCAGGACGGAAAAATCGGTGGACGGCAGGTATTTTTACTAAAAAGCTCGTAGACAGCATGCTTATATTTTATGCCCTATGTTGAATAATTTCTGCTTTATTTGCTAATATTGCATTGGCGTTGCTCATGTTAAAGGCAAAACTAGCTGCGTGCATTATACACGTAGATGTTTAACCATCGTTACGTAGACGCATAGTAACTCGATTTGAGTGTTGGCACTTTTGCAACACAGCGTGAACAGCTGATGGAGTGGGCACTAGTTTGCATGCATTGCAAAAACGTTTCGCTGCACATTTCGACTTTGATCTGTTTTGCGTCTAACAACACCTAGACAGGACACCGATAAGACGCATAAAAGATGACCCACGGACTCATATCGGATGCGTGTGCCGACAAGCTTGTCAAAAAGATCGTTTGTAGGGTTTAAACTGCGGAAATCCAATGTCACAAACGGACTTGCACGACTGCGAATTAGATACATACAGCATCCATGAAAACAGGCGACCTAGACTTGGCTTTCAGTATAACAATGCGCGCACTATGCAATATTGGACATACTGGAGTTGCTGTTTTAGAGTATAAGTAATTTGCCAAATATGCAGCATTTCGTTAACCGCATTTACGGGCATCCTAACCAGCGGCAAGCAGTTGATATTTTTTAGCACACTAAAACACAGTTATAATGGTATACCAAACTAGAATGGCAGCTTCTAGAGAGCAATTGTTTCACTTCAGTCAAACCAAACAGCAAACGTACCCGATCTAAAGTACCCTGCTAGGTCTGCTACTACTGGGCAGCGGTCTCTTACTGACCTTAGCGTTATATTCCGTAACGTTACTGAATCTGAGGCTGTTCTCCCAAGGGAACGCATCTTGGATGACATCAAGTGGCTGAAACTGTGTGTCAGCAAGCTGCTTCCACCTGGTTTCCCTGGTGTCACTGTCAGAAAGCTGACCAGATTGGGGAACGTTCCTATCGCTACGCCAAATCCACGACCCCGACTACTTCGCGTAGTCCTTTCTACCCCTGAGGAACGCAAATCGTTACTGCGATTTGCATTCAAACTTAAGGGTAGTGGTGTCAGCGTTCAGCCGGACCTCCCACTGGCAGATAGGTTGAAGTTAAAGGAGGCTATCAAAGACCTCAAAACTAGACGGGCGGCTGGTGAACAAGGCCTCCGTCTGGTGGGTTTTCAGGTGGTCAGCCGGAAATTACTTTCCGCCCTATCAGAACCAATCCTGATGGCGCACGACCCAGGGATGGTCGTGCCGACTTCCTTGAGGTAGTACTTAGCAACGTGCGTAGCCTAAGGAACAAGGTGCACGAGTTGGGTCTACTTGTAGACAAATCTCGTCCCGACATACTTGCTTTCACTGAGACGTGGTTGTCTCCGGATATCACGGACGGTGAGGTATATTTACCTGGCTACGCGCTGCTTAGAACTGATCGCTCCGTTGGTCGCCAAGGCGGAGGCGTTGTACTGTATGTGAGCTGTAACTTAGATGTGTTGAGGACTTGCACATTCCAGTCGTCGGATCAGACTGTTGAAGCCCTATCGGCTGTTTTGTGCACTTCCTCTACCCAGTTTACAGTTATAGTGGTATACAGAAGTCCTGGAAGTTCCTCCAGGGGGATACTTGACTTTATTCGCACTCAGTCTGCGAATAAGTGTTTAGTTCTAGGGGATTTCAACCTCCCGGAAGTCTGTTGGGCCGATCTTTCTTGCAATTCGGCATTAGGAACATTCGGTGCAGACTTCCTTGAACTGACTCTCCAAGTGCCTTTGCACCAGTTCGTTGACTTTCCCACTAGGTATATGGACAACCAAATGCCATCTACTTTGGATTTGGTTTTCGCTAAGTCCCTGGACTTCGTGACTGACGTTTCATGCGGTGCACCTCTAGGGTCCAGCGATCACGCATGCATATCCTTTCGATGTGCTCTTTCAAGGCACCAAGAGACCGCTGTTGAATTACTTCCGAATATTTGGCGGGCGGACTTTAGTGCAATGCGAACTAAGGCTTCAGTTCTGAACTGTGAGATTTCGATGGCTGACTCTGTCCAGTTAGCCTGGGATAAATTTAAGGCATACCTTACGGAGGTTTCCGCACCCTATATTCCACTCATTAGGAAAAGAGGGTTAAGGGCACAGCCTCCATGGATAGATACCACAGGCAAGTACCTACTCAAGAAACGGTCTAGATGCTGGCGAACCTACCAAGCAGCTCCATCAGCCAGTACCTATGATAGTTATCGAGAGAATAGAAATAAATGTAAGCAACATCTCAGAACTGCTCGTCTCCAATACGAGCAGGGTTTAGCGGACTCGGCCGCAGCTAATCCCAAGAAGTTTTTTGCTTACGTTAAAAGACGCAGCGGGGCAAAATTGTCTATACCAGCTTTATTGCGAGCAGACGGGACCCCTGCGCAAACTGACTATGACAAGGCTTGTATACTGAGTGATCAGTATACTGCGGTCTTTGCTCGGGAGACCTCTTTACCGCAGGTTGAATTGGTTTCAAGAGTTCCAGAGGATTCTTGCTTAGCTGAATTTAGCATAACGGAGACTCAGGTCTTCGAGCTACTGCAAGGCATTAATCCCTCTAAAGCTTCCGGTCCTGATTCAATTCATCCGAAGCTGTTGCATGAACTGGCCACTGAGCTGAGTGGTCCGCTCACGTGCGTATTTTCAATATCGCTGGACAGCTGCAGCCTACCTTCGGAATGGAAGGAGGCAATCATCTGTCCGATTTTTAAGGGCGGTGACAGCGCTCTACCCGCGAACTACCGGCCTGTCAGTTTGACAAGCGTAGTAGTCAAGTTGTTCGAGAAGCTGATAAGGGATTCAGTGGAGAACCACCTGAATCGATTCAACCTTCTCAGTGTTGCACAACATGGATTCCGCAAAGGATTTTCATGTCAGACTAATTTACTTGTAGCTCGTGAAAGCTGGGCCGAAGCGGTAGACAGTGGCCACGCTGTAGACGTGCTATTCGTAGATTTTTCGAAAGCTTTTGACACTGTTCCACATCTTCGGCTCTCACTAAAGTTGAGATCTTACGGGATATCTGGTCGCGCCCTTCAATGGGTGTCTGCCTTCCTTGAGGGGAGGGAACAGTGCGTACGGGTGGGGCGTAGCCTTTCGCTCAGGCAAGCTGTCCTTAGTGGCGTTCCGCAGGGCTCGGTATTGGGGCCATTGTTGTTCGCGATCTATGTAAATGACTTGCCGGGAGAGCTAGGGGTGTCATCATTAATGTTTGCTGACGACCTTAAGCTCTGGAATATTGTGGATATCCCGGGGGGTCCTGAGGCAATTCAGCGTGCCTTGGATAGACTCTGGGAATGGTCTATCTTATGGTTGATGCCCATAAATAGGGCCAAGTGCTCTGTTCTCCGAATCGGAGCTGCTAATCCTCCCACCCGATATGTTCTCGGCGGTGGTGAACTCCCTGTTGTCACTCAGCAGGTTGATTTAGGAGTCGTACACGCATCAGCACTTCATTCTGGAGACAACTGGAAGAAGGCTGCTTGTCGAGGGTTTCGTATGATGTGGTTTATCCGCCGCTCTTTCGGAATCTTAACGGCCAAGTTGTTTGTGAAGCTATTTTCGGCATTCGTCCGACCCCACCTGGAATATTGTATTCAGGCTTGTCCACCATGTCTTAACCGAGACAAAATGGACTTGGAGAGGGTGTTACGAGTGGGCACTCGGTTAGTGCAGGGTCTACGGGGACAGACGTATCCTGAACGCTTGCTCAGTTTGGGTATGTACTCCATGCACTACCGAAGGATAAGAGGGGACCTGATTCTCACTTATCGTATTTTGACGGGTAAGATTGGCCCGGACTTGTCAGGGCTTTTTAGTCCCGCTACGTTACCTAGTCTCCGCGGTCACCCACTGAAACTGCATAAACCACGGTCTGATAGGATTAGGACGGAAACTCGTCTATCGCGCCGAGTTATAGATCGCTGGAATTCTCTTCCAGATCACGTGGTTAGGGAACCTACGGTTAAGGGTTTTGCGCGCCAGCTCGATGCTCTTGGGTGGCAACAGCAAACCTTTCCTTTTTCCTAGCTGACTCACCTTCATTTTTCAGTTCTTTTTTTATTGACTCAAATATCTTGGTATTCCACTTGCTTAGCTCTTACCACTTTCTCTTTTGCCTCCTGCGTTTACTTTTTCTCTTTCTTACTTCACGTAACCGACCCAGCAGGGACTGCTAGGGCAGGATACGTGGGCATTAATTGGTTGGACAGGGTGTGATGCGGTCTTTGTTTTAGGTCCATCAGTATTTCAAAGTTCGCCAACTCCTGGTTCAACGACCCGCCGAAGAAGGAACACTCACGGGATCTATCCTATCGTTCCAGTCCCGCTTGAACTTGAACTTGAACTTGAGTGCTACGCGGTAACTCGACTTTTTGGCGTGCCATACTGATCGAGATTTTTAGTTGAATTAACGTGGAAAACAGTGTTTGAATAAACACTTGAAACGAAATTTGACTATTGTCAAATTTCCTCTGATCCAAGATATCTTGGATCGATTAAAGCGGTTCTGGTCAAAGCGTCTTTGGCGCTTACTGGTAATTTTTCCAGTTTTTCCCAGTTTTAACCCCGTTTTGCACCCAGTTTTTGCCTTTTTTGAGGTCGTTTAACTATTGCATACGTGTTATAATCACTCTGTTTTCCACTATGTCGGTCTCGCAATGCACCGAGGCTGTTGTTCCTGATGGCTCGGATTCTGAGGTTATCGCACTTTGTGGCGGCCCAAGCTGCAATATACCAGTAACTGACGATTCCGGCGGTATGCAATGCGATGTCTGCAACCGATGGTACCATCAGCTTTGTACGGAGCTAAATACCGAGCAGTACGCAGCGCTGGCCTCTAGCGAAAAGTTGCTTTTCAGTTGTGCCAATTGCTGCAGCCGCCGGCAAGGCCGCACAGCCTTTCGTACGAGAGACGAATCTCTTGATACCCGGCTGCGAAATGTAGAGCGTTCGTTCTCGATGCTCTCTGATCTTCGCTTTAAGATTGATCTGCTTATGACGACGCTTCCGGTCTCCAACAAAGCAGATTTGATCGCTTACACTGATGATCAACTTGTGGCACCTATCATTATGTCACCGGTCCAGATGGCTACCGACCACCAAAATGAAGCAGCTTCGGACGTCGTATCTAAACCTACCCTGATCGACGCCGAATTGCTGGTTCAAGGGTCACTTCGAGTTAAGCGAAGAAGAGCCAGGAAACCTCGTAAGCTCTCTGCTAAACAAGAAGTTGTTGTCTCGGCACCGGAAACAAGCCAAGTGTCGTTACTTGGCAAACCGTCTGACGGTTGTGCGAAGGCGAAGATCCCAACACGCACTACTTGTCAGCCGAAGTTGCCGGAAATCTTGGTTCTCACCGAGAAGACATATTCTGAAGGTTTGCTTGATTCTGCTCAAAGCGAAAAAGCCTCACGGGACCCTGCTCCTGTTATCAAGAAGAAAAAGCAGACAAAATCTGCTATAAAGCCTTCCGGTGAAATCGATGACCCTAACAAAAGTAAGACATCGACAATGGAGCGAAAAACATACGCTGCCGTTGCTACATCATCGGAGGGGCTAAAGACAGTTCCATCACCAGTAGTGAAGCCACCTGCTCCGAGTGCCGAATCAAAGACCCGTGGGGTTAATACACCCCGTCGTGGCGATTCTTTCACGGATAGTAGCGTTATATTCCGTAACGCGGCTGAATCTACTGCTGTCCTTCCTGCTGATCGCATGTTGGACGACCTTCAATGGTTTAAAATGTGCGTAACGAAGCTTCTTCCGCCTGGTTTTCCAGGCGTTACTGTCAGGAAGCTGATTAGACTGGGGAACGTCCCAGTTAACGTACCAAACCCGCGACCGCGGCTACTTCGTGTGGTACTCTCTACCCCGGAGGAACGCAATGCTCTCATGCGGTTTGCGTTTAAGCTGAAAGGTACAAATATTAGCGTTCAGCCGGACCTTCCGCTAGCCGATAGGCTGAAGCTAAGGGAGGCCATCAAGGACCTCAAAAGCAGGCGAGCGGCCGGTGAACAAGGTCTCCGGTTAGTGGGTTTTCGGGTGGTCAGCCGGCGGTCCTTTTCCGCCCTACCACTGCCCATTCTGGTAGCGCACGACCCAGGTCTGGATCTAACGAAAACCTTCAGATAGTGCTAAGTAATGTGCGCAGCCTAAGGAATAAGGTGTACGAGTTAGGTCTGCTTGTAGATGGGTCTCATCCCGATATACTCGCATTCACTGAAACGTGGCTGTCTCAGGACATCACGGATGGTGAAGTACATCTATCTGGCTACGCACTATTTAGATGCGATCGCTCTGCTGGCCGACAGGGAGGGGGCGTCGCTCTTTATGTGAGCTGTAAACTTGACGTTTTGAAGACTTGCTTATTTCAGTCGGCAGACAAAACTGTTGAAGCTCTATCGGCTGTTATTAGCACATCCTCGGCTCAGGTTACAGTTGTAATTGTGTATAGAAGCCCTGGGAGCGTATCCAAAGAGGTACTTGAATTCATTCGCTCCCAGTCCGCAAATAAGTGTTTGGTGATGGGCGACTTCAACCTCCCAGAGATTTGCTGGGCAGATCTTTCTTGCGACTCAGCGTCAGGCACATTCGGCGCTGATCTGCTTGAACTTACGCTCCAAGTATCTTTGCACCAGTTCATTGACCTCCCCACTAGGTACATGGACGCCCAAGTACCGTCTATCTTAGACCTTGTATTCGCTAAGTCACTCGATTTTGTTGATGACATTACTTACGGACCTCCACTGGGTTCCAGTGATCATGTTTGTTTGCTCTTCAGTTGTACTCTGTCTAGACGCTACCAGAGTACTGTTGAGTCTCGCCCGAACATATGGCAAGCAGACTATCAATCAATGAGAGCCAAGGCTTCTGGTTTCCATTGTGAGATCTCAGACGACGATACTGTCGAGGTTGCCTGGGATAAATTTAAGTCCTACCTCACAGAGGTCTCTGCTCCCTTCATCCCAGTCAGAAGGAGAAAGGAGGCCCGAGCACAGCCGCCCTGGATAGATCCCACTGGCAGGCATCTGCTCACAAAGAGGTCTAGATGTTGGCGGACTTACCGAGATGCTCCGTCCACCGATACTTATGACAGGTACCGTAAGGCTAGAAATAGGTGTAAGCAACACCTAAGGGATGCTCGGCTCAATTTTGAAAAAGGGTTAGCGGACGAAGCTTCAGAGAATCCAAAAAGATTCTTCGCTTATGTCAAAAGGCGCTGCGCTTCGAACATGTCAATTCCAGTATTGATGCGTGATGACGGTACTCATGCGCATACGGATTATGACAAGGCCTGCGTACTCAGTGGGCAATATGCGGCAGCGTTTGTAAGGGAAACCTCTTTGACAGGCGTTGAGCTGGTTTGCAGGACCCCAGAGGGTTCAGAACTATCTGAATTTATTGTAGCGGAGACTGCAGTTCGTAGGCTGTTACAAGGGCTGAACCCTTCTAAGGCCTCTGGGCCTGATTTAATTCACCCGAAACTGTTGCATGAGTTGGCTGCGGAACTAAGTGGACCGCTCGCTATTGTGTTTCAGAAATCGCTTGCCAGTTGTGCATTGCCTTCCGAATGGAAGGAAGCTGTCATCTGTCCCATCTTCAAACATGGGGACAGGGGTCTGCCTGCAAATTACAGGCCAGTTAGTCTGACGAGTGTAGTAGTCAAACTCCTCGAGAAACTGGTGAGAGATTCATTGGAGAGTCATCTGAGTAGATTTAATCTACTTAGCAATGTACAACACGGATTCCGGAAGGGATTTTCGTGTCTGACGAATCTGTTGGTGGCTCGCGAAAATTGGGCGGATGCAGTGGATAACGGCCACACACTGGACGTGCTTTTCGTCGACTTTTCGAAGGCATTTGACAAGGTACCCCATTTGAGGCTCGCGCAAAAGCTGTCCTCCTACGGGGTATCTGGCCGCGCCCTTCATTGGGTGACTGCCTTCTTGGAGGGTAGAGAACAGTGTGTACGGGTAGGCCGGGGCCTATCATTTAGGCAGTCTGTCCTCAGCGGCGTGCCGCAGGGCTCGGTCCTTGGACCGCTGTTGTTCTCTATCTATGTGAATGACCTACCCGCGGAGCTTGAGGTACCATCGCTGCTATTTGCTGATGACCTGAAGCTGTGGAACATTGTTGATGTTCCTGGGGGTTCCGAAGCTATTCAGCGAGCATTGGATAAGCTTTGGGACTGGTCTACTTTATGGTTACTGCCCATAAATCAGGCAAAGTGCTCCGTTCTTCGAATTGGAGGAGGTTGTCCTCCTGCGAAGTACTTGGTCGGTGGGGTCGAACTCCCCCGTGTATCTAGCCAGGTTGACCTAGGCGTCGTACACTCTTCGGCTTTACACTCCGGCGACAACTGGAAGAAGGCCGCAAGCAGAGGTTTCCGCATGTTGTGGTTAATCCGACGTTCTTTCGGAGTCTTGACGAGCGGCATCTTTACGAGGCTGTTCTCGGCTTTCGTTCGGCCTCATCTGGAATACTGCGTCCAGGCTTGTCCGCCCTGCCTCGTCCGGGACAAAATGGAGCTAGAGAGGGTTTTACGAGTGGGTACTAGGTTAGTCGAGGGATTACGGGGACGGACGTACCCCGAGCGTCTACTTAGTTTGGGAATGCATTCAATGCACTACCGAAGGCTTAGAGGAGACCTAATCCTAACCTACCGTATCTTGACTGGGAAGGTTGGTCCAGATTTATCTTGGCTATTCAGTCCCGCTAGATTGTCTGTTCTACGCGGTCATTCGTTGAAGCTGGACAAACCGCGGTCCGATCGGATTAGGGCGGAAATCCGGCTGTCACGCCGAGTCATCGACCGCTGGAACATGCTTCCGGAAAGTGTTATCAGGGAATCTACGGTTAAGGGGTTTGAGCGGCAACTTGACGCTCTTGGGTGGCAACACGAAACCTTTCCATTTTCCTGAGTAACTCGCATCTTCGTACTTCGATTTTCTTTTCTCTACTTTTCTTCACGTATTGGTATTATTTTCTTATTTAAGTGCATTTCCCTATTCTGTACCTTCGATTTCTCTTCCTATCCTTTGCTTACTTCACGTGACTGCCACAGCAGGGACTGCTAGGGCAGGAAACGTGGGCATTAACTGGTTGGCCAGGGTGCGATACGGGTGTTTCCGTTTTAGATCCATCAATAACTGAGCACTTCATCAATTCCTGGCTCAACGATCCACTCAAGATGGAACACTCACGGGATTTTCCTATCGTTCCAGTCCCCATCTGAACTGAACTGAAGACCAGCTACCAAGGTTAGTGGTTCCCAGATGTCCGGTGGATCTTAGTCTCGTGCAGAATTGGAACATGCAGGAACGTTCGAAATCGATGTGAAAATTGTTAATAACCAATTAATTGCTAAAATAGTGGATTTCCTAGGCAATGCTTGCTCTCTCCCAGACCTCTAATTCTGAGATATCTACTGGAGTATAAGACAAAAGCTTAGGATTAACTTGTAGTCTTCGGGAGGACGTTCGCTGCCTGTCGGTCCACCTCCTTGGCAGAATTGCACGAGAACTATTTCCGATGTCCGTGTTCTGGATTCTTTGCTCGACTGTATGCAGTCGTCTGCTGTTACCTTCGGCAAGTTGAAGCATTCCACCAATAAATCGAAAGGGAGGTCAATAGGACTTGCTTGTTTAGTTGGCATAATGTCAGTCGTAACTTGTTTGCATGCCGTGCCCAGGTCTGTGCGCCCACCATCACGTAAAACACGACGTTTCCACGCTTGCGTTTGACCGTCCCTGGCGTCCATTTCGCATGGCCTTCCCGAAAGTCACGTACTATCACCTGCTGTCCAAACGTAAACGATCGCGTCTTTGCTCCATGCCACTGTTTAAAAACCTGTTTCATTCTGCGCTTTCACCAACAAAGGATTCCGAGCGCGGTCGGATGGCGTCGAATGCATACGAAGCTTCCTGTTCATCATAGCCTGTGCTGAAGTAACTCCGTCTGGCGCTTGTGGATTCGTTGTTGATCGGTAGAGAAAAAGGAATCGGTTAACCATCTCCCCTATACGTCTTTCCCCTTTTGGTTTGTGGGAAGCTCGCTTGAACGTATCGACGGACCTCTCTGCCTAGCCATTCACCTGTGGGTGAAACTGCGGCGAGCGAACGTGCTGGACGGCGCATTGCTTGCAAAGCTCCGTACACGTTGCCGAAGTGAACTGTGTGCCATTGTTACAATTGTTTCCGGTCAGCCGAATCTGCTAAAGGTTTGGCGCAGTTTTGATACAGTGGCATTGGTGGTTGTGCTATCCATGAGCAATACTTCAGGCCACTTGTTGTATGAGTCGACTATCATGGGGACACCTCTGTCGTTGATCGGTCCTGCAAAGTCGACATGGGGGCGGCATCATGGCTTAGTAGCTTTCGGCCATGAAGAGAGCGTTGATTTTTGTGGCGCTTTCAAGACAATGGCGTTTTTTTGGCAGCCTTTAGCTATTGCTTCTAGCTGTTTGTCTATGGAGGGCCAGTATACACAATTGCGGGCAAGCGCCTGCATC